CGCCGCTATGTTCGCTCTTAATTCAGAAAGCATATCCTTAAGTTGGGCTGCTGTGACCGGGTCTCCGGCAGCCGGTGGCTTGGCTTTAGGCACCGCTGGTTGATTGATCCTGGTCTCTACCCCAGGGTTGTAGGAGAGATCCTCAGAGGAGTACGAGGAGCCATCGTCTCCCGACGCCATTTTGTCCCATGTTGGTTTCTGAGGGCCTCGCAACATCTCACCAATATCGTGGCAGAAGGGACCTCTGTCCGCTCTCTGTTTCTTGTTTTTTCGACCCATTGTGCCCTTAGGTAGCAGTGTGACAGCTTGAGGTTGGGTACTGGTATGTTTTATGCAGTTTTACCGCAATAATGTAGATCCCAATGTCGGAGCTCGGGAAAGTGTGGCCGCTCTGTTTGGCTGCTGGCTCCGCCCCCCTGAATGCCCTTTTTCATGCATGACAATACCTTACTGGCCTTGGCCACTGCTGATTGACATTGCACATTGTTGCATAGTTTTTTTGTCTATAACAATTCCCAAGTCCTTTTCGTGTGTTGTTATCCCTAATTCGCTTCCATTAAGGGTATACGTTGCTTGTGTATTCTTTACGCCGAAGTGCATAACTTTGCATTTTTCAACATTAAATTTCATTTGCCATTTGAGTGCCCAGTCCCCCAGTCTATCTAAATCCCTCTGCAGCAAAGTAATATCTTGCTCACATTGTATTATTTTACAAAGTTTTGTGTCATCTGCAAACACTGAAACATGACTTTCAATGCTGTCTTCAAGATCATTTATAAACATATTAAATAGAAGGGGTCCCAGAACAGACCCCTGAGGGGCACCACTTGCCACCTCTTTCCAGCTTGAAAATTTACCATTAATGACAATTCTTTGTACTCTGTATTTAAGCCAATGTTCTACCCAAGAACAAGCATTTTCATCTAGACCGATTTCCTTGAGTTTGAACACTATTATATGGTGTGGAACTGTATCAAATGCCTTGGCAAAATCCAAATAGATCACATCTTATACAGGCCAAAGACAAGAGGGGGACTGGGCCTCCCAAACATATATTATTATTACATAGCGACCCAATTGACTCAGGTGGCAATGTGGCACTCTCCCCCAGGAGACCAGAAATGGGCAGATGTGGAATCTCTCATGACGGGTGCCAATCTCCAGCAGCTTCTTTTGTGGGTTCCTAAAGAGCACAGACCCTCGATCAGGGTCACCTGCCCGAATATAATTAACTCCTTGAGGTTTTAGGACTCTCTCAAACTAAAGTTCCATTTAGCATCTGACCCGTCTCCTCTTACGCCTTACCTACGCAATAAGGCCTTCAATAAGGCAATAAGGCCTTGGTTACGTTGTCTTTGAGACTGTATAGTAGCCCGGGAATGAAATTTACACCCATAATGGCATACCATTTGCAATAGTAGACAACCCAAGGTATTGCAAATGGGGTATGTCCAGTCTTTTTTAGTAGCCATTTGGTCACAAACACTGGCCAAAGTTAGCGTTAGTATTTGTTTGTGTGTGAAAATGCAAAAAACGCCAATTTTGGCCAGTGTTTGTGACTAAGTGGCTACTAAAAAAGACTGGACATACCCTGTTTGCAATACCTTGGGTTGTCTACTATTGCAAATGGTATGCCATCATAGGGGTAATTTTCATTCTTGGGCTACCATAGGGTCTCAAAGGCAATGTAACCAATCTGGCGAATTTTAATGTGAAAAAAATGAAATGCAAGCCTTATATTTGACGCTGTAACTTTTGAAAACACCATAAAACCTGTACATGAGGGGTACTGTTGTACTCGGGAGACTTCGCTGAACACAAATATTTGTGTTTCAAAACAGTAAAAAGTATCACAGCAATAATATTGTCCGTGTAATGCTGTTTGTGCGTGAAAAATGCAAAAAACGTCACTTTTACTGGCGATATCATCATTGTAATACATTTTACTGTTTTGAAACACTAATATTTGTGTTCAGCGAAGTCTCCCGAGTAGAACAGTACCCCCCATGTACAGGTTTTATGGTGTCTCAGAAAGTTATAGGGTTAAATATAGTGCTAGCAAATTAAATTCCCTTTACTTTCGGCATGGGTTGTCAGGCAGGTCCCGCTAATTGTAATTAATTAAGATACCTAATTATGTAAAAATAATACATAAATATATATGTAGAATTAATATATGTATATATATACGTATGTGTATATATATGTATATATCTATATAATTTAAAAAATATATTTTTATTTATATATAGGTATATATATAGTGATATATACGTATATATTTATGTATATAGATATATATATTATTTCGTTCTACGTGTATTTTGATATATAGATATATATATATATATATATTAATTTCACAATACAGTTAGAACGAAATAACACACATCTATATATTTTTTAATTATTTATTTTTAATTATTTTTTTAATTTTATTTTTTAACGTATTTACATTTTTTTTATTTTTTATAATATATATAAATATATATATAACAATAATTATATATATATTTAATCAGTATCAGTCTAATTATATATATATTAATAGTAAAATACACCTAGACGGTGTACATGTGTGTATGTATATGTGTATATATATACTTAGATCATATATATTTAATATATATATGATCTAAGTATATATAATTTTTTTTTTTTACACTGATTAACTTATTTTACTTTTATTTTCAGCCAGCAGGGGGACCACCTGTAATTACAGGCAGCCCCCCTGCTGGCAATGCAGAAGCCAGCTATCCCCGGCCATGTGATTGTGGGGTCCTCGCTAGGACCCCACTCTCACACGGCCGGGGGGCTTCCTGGAGGACGGTCGTGCCGCGGGGGGCTCCCTGGGAGTCCCCCCCACCGCGATCGCCGGCGTGAGACCGCTGGCGACCAGGTAAGTACCGAAAGACCGGAGGGCATACTATTACGCCCGGCGGCGTTTAGAGCCGCCTATTAGAGGACGTAATAGTACGCCCTCCTGTCTAAAGGGGTTAAAGCATATATTAACTAATAAATTATATCCATTTGAGATAATGATTTATTCAATGATTTATTAAATTAAGTAATGAATTCTATTCTAAGTCTTTGAGTGCAGTATCATTTTTTGTATTTTGTATATTTTTGAGGTATTAAGTGGGCCACCGCGATACTTTGCACCAATATGGATGAAAGTGTGCCTGTACATAGTATATTATTTTGTTGCTCTGTTTAATAGACTTTCTGTCACCTGAATTACTCCTCTTTTCTCTTTGTCTTCCTTTACTTCATTTTCTTCCTCTCCTTATTCATTTTTCTTTATTCCCCCTTATCTTTTCTCTTTCTTTTCTTTTCTCCTCTCTTTAATTCTTCAATAAGGGTACAGATTCTTTTCTGTTTGGTTTCTGACCCTTTCTTTTCTTTAGGTGTATTTGTTTTATTTATTAAATGTATTTGTTGTATTAAAGGAGGTGTATATACACAGCGAGTTTTGAGCGTAACAAGTGTTATAACCAGTAAGATAATCTCTCCACCTCTATTGCTCTAGTTTTCACTTCTTTAAAAAAATTATTTTAAAAAAGCATAGCAGCTTTTTAATTATAGCATTCATAAGGTTTAAAGGTTTGCAGGTATAACTCAAGAATATAAATCACTGTGTGCTTCGTGCTGCTGACAGCCGTTCAGTATTTTAGAGTCCACGTGTGAATCTCTAACTTGCTCGGCACACTGGCTGTTGGTCAGAAACTGCGTTCAGTATCTCCTCTCCCAGGTGCTTCCGAATGTCTAAATAGCTGAATTGACGAAGTGCCGAATTGTCGAAGTCCCGAAATTACCCTAAAGTAAAATGATGGGGGGGGCCTATTGTCCTCCCCCCCGACCCCCACCCCTGAGCGGTGGGTGGGGGCCCTAAATACTAATAAGGGGGGACCTAATGTCCTCCCCCCTGACCCCCACCCCTGAGCGGCGGGTGGGGGTCCTAAATTGGAATAAGGGGGGGACCTAATAACCTCCCCCCTGGTCCCCACCCCTGAGTGGCAGGTGGGGGCCCTAAATACTAAAAAGGGGGGGACCTAATGTCCTCCCCCCTGGCTCCCACCCCTCAGCGGCGGGTGGGGGCCTAACTTGGAATAAGGGGGGGGACCTAATGTCCTCCCCCCTGGCCCCCACCCCTGAGCGGCGGGTGGGGGCCCTAAATACTAATAAGGGGGGGACCTAAGGTCCCACCCCTGAGCGGTGGGTGGAGGCCCTAAATACTAATAAGAGGGGGGACCTAATGTCCTCCCCCCTGGCCCCCACCCCTGAGCGGCGGGTAAAGGCCCTAAATACCAATAGGTATTGTCCTCCCCCCCGGCCCCCACCCCTGAGCAGCGGGTGGGAGGCTAAAAAAAAAGTTCCCCCCCAGGTGACTAGGGGGTCGCAGGTGGGGGCTCAGGAGGGGGGGGGCCCTTTTTTTTTTTTTTACTGTTTAATACACATGCCCCTTCTCGCGGTATAGCGAGTAGGGGCAAAATTGACTAATACTAAGTAATTTTTACTTAGTATTAGTAAATTTGACTGAAAGACCAATTTAGGTCTTTCAGCCTATTGGTAGATAACTCCCTAATACCGTGGTGTGACAGATCCATCTGTTTAGACTAAGATTGCTGGTTGGTCTGTTTTGCCTTTTTGTGAACTTACCCGTTCGTATGCCCCTGTTTAGTGAATTGACTTTTCTGCCGAACAAAACTTCCGAACGGACGGCCACCCAAAAGAGAAGTGTGCTGCTGGTTAACCTCTTGATCCCAATTAGAACGTTGCGGTTAACCGCAGACACTTCTTAATTAAAACCGAATACAGGGTGGTCGTCGTTCATATGTCGACCACGAGGCGGCGGCCATTTTAAACCATGCGAAAGACCAGCGGTGTTCGGCATTGATTTCATGGAACTGAAAACTGACACTTTTTTCAGCCGAACACTGCTGAAGCCGCCGACCTCCCTTCTCAATCGACAGAAGTGTGCGAACACCGGCCGTTCAGGAGGTTTAAAAGCACGAATGGACTTACCCCAGATAGCCTTCCCATGGAGTCAATCGCATGCCGAAAGACTGTAATAGACTTTGACTCCATGGCGATTGAACTATGCGTATGGGATCTGAGCGCTATTCGCCAATAATATGCACTCAGATCCAGGCTATCTGGGGATATGTGATACGAATGGGTAACATTCGACAATTGTAAAGTTATGTATTTTTATATGTTTTACCATGTTGAATTTAAAATGGCGATTTGCCTCTGTCCTGGAGATAATTGAATTACTTCTCATTTATCTCCAGGGCAGAGGGGAGGAAATACTAATGCATGCTGGGAATATTCTGTGTCTGTGGGTCCTAACCTGCCATATGTCTGTCTATTGTTACAGTCTCCCATTTGGTCCCCTAGGGGAGTGTCCACCAGGTGGGAGACCTGCATAAATACGGGCAGGTAGCCCACAGTAAAGCCAGTTCTTGTTGTACCCTCAATGCGGAGCTTGGTCTCGTTATTGGGGGGATTTATTACCGACGACTAGAGACTGCTGGATGGAATTATTAGCCGCTTGGGAGATATATACGTTTGGCGATTCGTATTGGCGATTCGTGAGTTTGGAGCCCGTGGAGTGAAGTGCCCGTACGGATCCCGTTCGTGAGTTTTCAGTGTTCCCTTGCTTGCGGTTCGCATGATTGTACTGGATACGCATGCAGCCTATGCTATTGCGAGAGGGGAGCATTCACTAAACGGCGGTTTGTACATTTAATGCTGAGGGTACCGTAACACGTGGTAATTAGGGAGTTATCTACCAAGCGGCTGCAAGCGAAGTCCCGAAATGCCGGAGTGTCTAAGTTCCGAAGTGGCGAAATTCCGAAGTGCCAAAGTTTTGAAGTGCCGAATTGACGAAGTGCCAAATTGACGAAATCCCGAATTTTGGAATGCCGAACCGAGCCGAATATTTTCCCCATGCACATGCCTACTAAAACCTAGAACAGTGTTTTATAAAAAAAAATAATAATAATTTGACAATTTTTATTTGTCTTTTCATAAGAAAAGATAAGAGTATACAGAAAAGAAAAAAGGGGGGTAAACATAAGTCCATATACGACAAGTGATACATAATGCATAATGCGTGTTACAGTTACCATTGTGCGTCCTCACTCTAGACAGAGTTAGCTATTCTTGGTTCGTACAACATTCACATGTGATTCGGGGTTCACCGTGTCTGATAATGTACATCTTCCCCTCTAGGTATGCTTGGGGATACATTGTTTGGCTGTCCCTCATGGGGACCAGGTAGTATCAGTTGTACCTCAGACATTGCCGTCATATCAGGACGGTTTTACTGTATAGCGTGAGAAATTCACAGTCGGTTGGGAAAGATTACACTGCGGTGTGGTGTGTGGAGACTAGGTAATGTACCCATGCAGTTTGTGGTGAGAAGGAGAGAGACCAAATTATTAATACCCATTATGTTGGCTATGTCTTCGCTGCCCATTGTTGCTTCCATCTGTCCCCGGTGAGTTGTGTAGCCATGGCAGATCTAATTTGTGAGTTCACATGTCCAGTTGCTGCAACATTTCATACCTTGTGGGTATGATTGTCGTTTTCTAGCAAGTAAGGTGTTAGCAGCAATGATGATGTGGAATGGTAATTTACGATCAATGATAGGTAGCCATTTCAGGCCTATAAATAGTAGGCATAACTCTGGGGTCAGTGGTATATGTATTGGCAGAGTTCTACGTGTTATTTCCTGAACCAGGTCCCAATATTCCCGTAATTCTGGGCATTGCCACTGTTTTAGACCAGACCAAGTGTTTGCTTGAATATCTGTCCCTGTTCAGATTGTTTGAAATAAGGTGCGTGCACGCTGAAGTAAATCACACTGAGACACAGGTTTCAGGTTAATGAAAAACTTCAGCAAGCACCTTATAAAGCACAAAATACATGATATGCAAAACATGAGATAACATAGAAAGTACATCTTTAATTGGTCAAGTGTTAAGTGTCTTATCTAATGCACTTCCTCCAAAGTGTGATGTCACCATCATTTTGGGATTTTACTCCGGATTTTACACAAGGTGTTTGGTCGATGGGAGGGGGTGCTCTAGCAGCCATTTTGAGTAAATACTGAATACAGTTATACATAGTAAATAGACATTTTACCTAAGTGTTAGTTTCTATCCATAACACCACCAAACATGGTTCATGGTGCCAACTGCATTATGACACCTCCAGCATGTATTAGACGTTCCAGGAAAGATGTGCGCTAGCCTTGCTGGGACCAGGTACCATCAGTATTGTAATTTGCGGATTAGTTCTAGATGCATCGTGCATGCCATGGTTCCCTTGTGCACCATATATGCCTCTTGCCATTGCTCTGTGATAAAGGTTTTTTCTAGATCCTTGTACCATGCTATCATGTACGTGTCTTCCTGACTAGAATGTGTTTTAAGGAGTACCTGGTATATAGTGGATAAGAGTTTCTTTTGTTTATGTGGGGCAAGGCATAGAGATTTGAATTTGCTTAAGGTGGGGGATGGTAGTATCTGTGTTGTGGTCTGCAGATACAATTTGAGTTGGACATAGGAAAAGATGGCTTTCTGCGGTCCTTGGTATTGGGTTTAAAGGTCTGGGAAGCTCTTCCAGGATGAGCCCTGATATAAGTTTGCCACATGTGTGCAGCCACTGTGTTGTCATATTACGTAATTGAAGGTGGGATTGCTAAGGTGTATGCTATACAGCAGAGTGGCTAGGGAGTGTAGGTGTCCACTGCAAAGAACTCTGTGCGTGGAGTCCCAAGCATGAAGGAGTAATTTGGTGCTGTCCAGCATGTCTGGCCAAGTGGATCTATGCCCAATGTGCTTCTAGGTGAACCCATTTGTAATACTTCCTATGGATTTGGAGTGGAACTGCAGAATTATAATTAGGACAACCCTTGGGTTTTAATAGAATAATTAGGAGAGATAGCATAATTCTTAAATAAGGTTTATTTAATAGTGGATTGATGAGAACAGTCCCAGTAATAAGAACACAATATGAAGATAATTTGAGTTCGATGAGAAGGGTTCCTGTAGCCTTAAGGAACATGATATGTATAAAGTTTGAAGAGAATAGTTCCTGTAGCTTTAAGGGAACAATATGAACACAGTTTGATGAAAAGAGTTCATTTAGCTTTAAGGAATACAATATAGATGTAGTTTAATAAGAAGCGTTCCTGTAGCTTTAAATAACGAGACAAGCAGATGTAGGAATGCGATGAGTTGCTGTAGCTTTAAGGAATACTATATGAAGATAATTTGATGAGAGAGTTCCTGTAGCTTTAAGGAACACAATATGGAAATAGTTTGATGAGAGAGTCCCTGTAGCGTTAAGGGACACAATATGAAGATAGTTTGACGAGAGCGTTCCTGTAGCTTTAAGGAATAGAATATGAAGATAGTTTGATGAGAGAGTTCCTGTAGCTTTAAGGAACACAATATGGAGATAGTTTGATGAGAGAGTTCCTGTAGCTTTAAGGAACACAATATGGAGATAGTTCGATGAGAGAGTTTCTGTAGGTGTAAGGGACACAATATGGAGATAGTTTGATGAGAAAGTTCCTGTAGCTTTAAGGAACACGATATGGAGATAGTTTGATGAGAAAGTTCCAGTAGCTTTAAGGAACACAATATGGAGATAGTTTGATGAGAAAGTTCCTGTAGCTCTAAGGAACACAATATGTAGAACGTTTGATGAGAGAGTTCCTATAGCTTTAAGGAACACAATATGAAGATAGTTTGATGAGAGCGTTCCAGTAGCTTTAAAGGAACACAATATGGAGATAGGTTGATGAGAGAGTTACTGTAGCATTAAGAAACTCGAGTATACATTTAGTGACTTATTTTTATATGGAAAGTTCATAAGACGAATCCATGTGAATAAGTTCATGTAGTAAATACAATTATAACTTCCAATTAATCTCAGTAGGAAGACACGTAGTGAAAACTGAAGTGCCAATGAAAAGGTAATCATCCAACAATATAATTGCATTTATAATGATGAGCTTTATGAAGCAGAGCGTATCCAAAGGTAATCAGAGTCAATTGGAAGGAGAATGGAGATTAGCGGTTACAACAATCCAGGTTCGGTACACATCATTTGTAGAAAGAGAGAGCATGTTTGTAGCCGGTCTGATTGATCAGGAAGCTTCAAAATAATCAAGCACTTTGAATCTGGCGCGGTTCCTCTAAGTAGCGTGAGGAGGCGTGTCAATAGTCCAGAAGTGTCGGATCGCGGCGAAGCTGCTAGTTAAGTTCTGACATCATTGAGGTATCTCGTGTGTGGAGTGTGCTGTTACTACAGGGAGTGCAGAATTATTAGGCAAGTTGTATTTTTGAGGATTAATTTTATTTTTGAACAACAACCATGTTCTCAATGAACCCAAAAAACTCATTAATATCAAAGCTGAATATTTTTGGAAGTAGTTTTTAGTTTGTTTTTAGTTATAGCTATGTTAGGGGGATATCTGTGTGTGCAGGTGACTATTACTGTGCATAATTATTAGGCAACTTAACAAAAAACAAATATATACCCATTTCAATTATTTATTATTACCAGTGAAACCAATATAACATCTCAACATTCACAAATATACATTTCTGACATTCCAAAACAAAAACAAATCAGTGACCAATATAGCCACCTTTCTTTGCAAGGACACTCAAAAGCCTGCTATCCATGGATTCTGTCAGTGTTTTGATCTGTTCACCATCAACATTGCGTGCAGCAGCAACTACAGCCTCCCAGACACTGTTCAGAGAGGTGTACTGTTTTCCCTCCTTGTAAATCTCACATTTGATGATGGACCACAGGTTCTCAATGGGGTTCAGATCAGGTGAACAAGGAGGCCATGTCATTAGATTTTCTTCTTTTATACTCTTTCTTGCCAGCCACGCTGTGGAGTACTTGGACGCGTGTGATGGAGCATTGTCTTGCATGAAAATCATGTTTTTCTTGAAGGATGCAGACTTCTTCCTGTACCACTGCTTGAAGAAGGTGTCTTCCAGGAACTGGCAGTAGGACTGGGAGTTGAGCTGACTCCATCCTCAACCCGAAAAGGCCCCACAAGCTCATCTTTGATGATACCAGCCCAAACCAGTACTCCACCTCCACCTTGCTGGCGCCTGAGTCGGACTGGAGCTCTCTGCCCTTTACCAATCCAGCCACGGGCCCATCCATCTGGCCCATCAAGACTCACTCATTTCATCAGTCCATAAAACCTTAGAAAAATCAGTCTTGAGATATTTCTTGGCCCAGTCTTGACGTTTCAGCTTGTGTGTCTTGTTCAGTGGTGGTCGTCTTCAGCCTTTCTTACCTTGGCCATGTCTCTGAGTATTGCACACCTTGTGCTTTTGGGCACTCCAGTGATGTTGCAGCTCTGAAATATGGCCAAACTGGTGGCAAGTGGCATCGGCAGCTGCACGCTTGACTTTTCTCAGTTCATGGGCAGTTATTTTGCGCCTTGGTTTTTCCACACGCTTCTTGCGACCCTGTTGACTATTTTGAATGAAACGCTTGATTGTTCGATGATCACGCTTCAGAAGCTTTGCAATTTTAAGAGTGCTGCATCCCTCTGCAAGATATCTCACTATTTTGACTTTTCTGAGCCTGTCAAGTCCTTCTTTTGACCCATTTTGCCAAAGGAAAGGAAGTTGCCTAATAATTATGTACACCTGATATAGGGTGTTGATGTCATTAGACCACACCCCTTCTCATTACAGAGATGCACATCACCTAATATGCTTAATTGTTAGTAGGCTTTCGAGCCTATACAGCTTGGAGTAAGACAACATGCATAAAGAGGATGATGTGGTCAAAATACTAATTTGCCTAATAATTCTGCACTCCCTGTATAGACGAGAGCAATGCCACCTTGTAATAAAGTTTCACATCGGCTAGGTTCAAACCCCCGAAGGAGAGGTTGGAGTAACTTTTTTAACCTGTTAAGTGAGTAAATATTTTTGCAGCAATTGGAACGCTATCTTATCTTGTTTAGATTGGTTCTGGAAGTCTCAGAATAAGGTAGAAGTAAAGTCAGGCACAAGAATATAATCAATTGAACTTGTTTTGCTCCACATGGCACTGTACTATTCTCTGCTGAAATAAAATATACCTCAAAGGGTCACTGTAGACAATAAAATAATTTAATCTTAATGAATTGGTTACAGTGTCATGCGTCTCCTGGCACTGACCCTCCATTCAGTGTTAAACCATTTTCAAGCGGTTTAACAATGAAAGATAGTCCCTGGCTTACCATAACTCCGCCTCCCCGTATGAATGGTTAAAAAAGAAATTAAATACTTCCTTGTAGTCATGCTAATTCATACCTGCAATGGCACTCTGATAGATGGATTGTGGTCTGACGACATTCTAAGCCAATCACAGATGCTCATTGCTATTTAGGCTAATGCTACCTCACTAGCCCAAGAATAACAGAGAGGATGGGTTGCTGGGGATTCCTGTTTAGCAATAAAACAGCAACAGGGACTGGGCCTACATTGTGTCTTTAAATGTAACTCAAAATAAATGAGAAACACTGGGTAGAAAGCAGAGATTAACTAAAATGTAACTTTGCAATTTGTAGTTAATTCATGTCACAGATGGCAAAATTTTTACTTTTTTTCTAAAAGCCTATGATTTAAAATGTGTATAAATCTATAAGCACCGCTAGCCTTAGAAGGTTTATTTACTACAAGGATTACCATCCCTTTAACAGTGTGAAATATAAGTGGAAAGAAAGTTTTTTTTTCCACAGGAGCAAGAAACCTTTACACACAAGGCGTGGTGTCACCACAAACTGTTATGACAGCGCTGTCAAATGAAGGAAGACGCGTAACATCACTATAGTGCCAATCTGTGCCAACTCAGAGTGCCCAACGTGCTGGTTCTCTTTTAGACATGATTCGCGTCTTCGCTTCCTGTGTCATATCAGAGTTTATGGTGAAACCATGGCTTGCACTTGTGGCTAAAAACCACTTCCTTTCCATTTATATTAGTAAAAATTATTGTTTACATGGGTCAAATGACTCCTTGGTCTGTGTTTCAACATCCTCATCCCAGACCACAGGGGATACAAGAATGAACAGAGACTGAGGAAAATTCAACTCCTGATTATGATCTACCAATATCATTCATGTTGGTAGAAGGCAGAGGCCTGGGTTCTGCCCTGGTTATTTGATCTTCCACATATCATAAACAATCCATAACATCTCACTCCCTATTACTTCTGTACATGCTACAGCACCTGGAAGGCCATTCCATTTGAGTCTCCCCTGGTCAAAAGTGGTTCCCTCACCTCCTGTTCATGGGATGATGAAAGATGATCATGGGGGCCGGCGGGATCATGGTATCCCTGCTCATTTCTTTTTTTTTTTCATTTCAAGGCTTTATTGAGGCATAGAGTTGTAGTTACAGTTACAGTAGAACACTATTACAGTGAAGGTGTACAGGAGACTCGCAGGTCTCATTGTGATAGGACAGTGACACAAAGGTTTTTCACCTATTTGGCCGTTTGCTTCTGCTGCTGCTAGGGGTCAGAGAGATCAGATATTTGGTTGACAATGTTAAGCATACATGTTGGGATGATACCCGTCAGCAGGTGAAGATCAGTTCGGGGGTTGAGTTGTAAAGGCAGATATTGTTGTTAATATATGATAAGTGTCGAACGGCAATACAATAGCATTCATGGCACGTCACCTAGCCTTGTTAGACAGGTCAGTAGAGTGTATAGCTTTGTTGTGGTCTATGTGAGGACATAGGTCGCATTGTAGATTATACAGTAGGAATTGTAAGATATGTGGTGCAGTCTCTTAGTACAGCTAGCCTGCTGGTTGGGGTAGGTATTAGATGGCAACCACTCGTCGTGTTTTCAGTAATTCCTGGGTTGTTGGTGGTGTGTCGGGCAGGTTTTCTGATTTGTCAAGCCGAGTACGGCATGCGGAGGTCGGTGAGGGGGGAGTGTGGGCAGCAGGGAGACGCGGTTCAGGGATCTCTGTCAGGTAGGCCTGTTCAAGATCCGTTGGGGTGGAGGGCGGGGAGCAGTTGTCGAGTAGTGGGGCGTTTGGAGGTCGAGGGTCCGTCAGGTAGTTTTGTCCTGTGTGTGCGTTTGCTGCGGGTGTCCCCTCTGTGCTAGTCGCTGTTCTGTAATGTGTGTAGGCGGTGGTTGTGTGTGTGTCATGCGTCGGGGTGTTGTCTTGTTGGGGTGTCACTTCTGTGTCTGGTGTCCTTCTGTGTCTGTTTAAGGCTCCGGTTAGCGTCGGGGGTGTATTGGTCGAGCGGGTACTGTTCCGGGTTGTGAGGGTTGAGTGGTTTCTGGTATTGTGGTATAGTGTTCTTGGGTATTGGGCGTTTGGGCAATCTTGTCGGGTTGGTTCATCCCTTATCCGGTGTGTGCTGGTCGTGGTGGGTGCTGTGGTGTGTAGTCTGTCTCTTAAGTGAGGTGGCGTTTCTGTGAGTGTAGGTTGCGTTCTCAAGTCAGCCTGTCGGCAGTGGGTCATGTATTTTAACGTGTGTTGTGGGGGGCGGGGGAATGGGAATGTAGGATAATGGGGTGAGGGCATTGCGGGTGAGGGTAGGGTGCGGGAGGGTAGGGGGTGGGCTTGCTCATTTCTTTTTAACTCTTTACGGACCACTGATGGTTTATGCCATTATATCACATGATTTCTTTAATGATAGTCCCATAAAATGTAATTCCATGAATTATTTATAGCCCATCATGTCTTATATAGCTACAGGTATCAAATCAACTGTATATTCTATGCTAGCATAAGATCTTAATTGACTACTGTAATGACAAAATAATATCACCTGTTAATTTAACTTATTACATCTTAATATAGTATCTTTTTTCATTCCTAGTTAGGCTTCTGCCTCTAATTCTTGAAATGTTGAGCCCTGTATCAGAGGATCCTGAGAGTGCACAGGACATCACATAAGGGTGTGCAAAGGTGAACATGTATTAAAGGGCTTGCTACTCCAAGCCTTGAATTCACTAATGCTTATTTTGTTCAATAAACATTAATTTATCAGTAATACTTCCTGTCCCCTACTCTTTTCAAAACTGAAGAAAAAAAGCCCAGCTGAAATAAAGGCAAAACCTTCAATTAAACAGAGAAGCATTGGTGGATCTAGGGCACATGAATGGCAAGAGTGCCCTAGAAACTCGCCAATCTAAGCATTCTGATAGAGAAACATTTAATATAATGATTTGCTATGAGAAACAGTGAACGCTGCCCAGCAGCGCAGTGTGAGCGTTCATAAGGGGGGTGTGATGAGCTGAGTGACATGTCATCTTGCTGCTAATGCCCGGCCACCTCCCAACCCAAGAGCTAAAGAGAGGGGAAGACAAGAGGCAGGGAGTCATAGACAATTAGAGGGACTGTATTTGATAGTCTATTAAACTGCTTGCGAGACACACACACACACACACAGTCCTAATGCCTTCACATTGCAGGCACACTCACAGAGCTGTCTGTAAGTGAAGAAGTCGATTACGTCCATCGTCAAAGTGAAGTGGGTGCTGATGATGGCCTTTTTTACTCTTTATTCAGAGAGATGAGCACATCAAAACAAACCACAAGTTGGTATGAGAAAAATGGTGACAAGGGACATATTGCATGCACAGAATTAACAATAGTCAGTCTGCAACAGTGTTTCCCAAAAAACTAGATCATATGTGCCGAAGGTGTGACTACAACTTACTGCCTAAAAATTAGAGGTATGGAATCAGGACAGAGTGAGTGACGAGGGGGCATCGCCTATGATGTGACCCACATTACTGTTGACTGCAATAGTGGGCTGGCCCATCCATAAATGGTGTGGAAATAAATAAAAAAAGGGATAAGAGTGCGCCTAAAATGTATGATAAAACATATACACAGTATAAAATAAAATAATAAAAGTAAATATAAAATGGTAATGATAAATATATCATTATCATTACCATTTTATATTTACTTTTATTATTTTATTTTATACTGTGTATATGTTTTATCATACATTTTAGGCGCACTCTTATCCTTTTTTTATTTATTTTTACCTTTATATTTAGGGGATTATAGGGGACTCCCCTCTGAGAGGTGCTGTCTTCTTTATTTATTTGTGTGGCAGTAGTGCGCTGATTTTTTTTCTCTTTTCATAAATGGTGTGGGCCTGCTTACTGACAGCCTTCAGGACCATGCAAGGAGTGTTGCTGAAGCCACCCCTGCATGGTCCTGGTGCCCACTGCACTGGTGCATCTAATGTTGCACTTGCGCTAAGCTGAACAGAGACACTTCCCTCGTGTGCCCAAATTCGGGACACCGGGGAAATTGAAGCATGGCAGAAATCAGAACCGTCCCACCACAAACGTTACTGTTGGGAGGCATGCTATACTCCGGGACGAAAGTAGGAATATCTCCGTATATCCCATGTTCTAAGCTGAGAACACTGCCCATACATTGCTGCGTTATCACCGTTTCTAAAAGCAGAAGTGGCCACAGTGGTAGGAGTAACTCTTTAAATGACCAATAACATTTAATACTATTTAAATTAAACCAGGCTATTTTTATCACCAAACTTTATATTTCACTAAACACAAACTATAAGATTTCTCCCCCCTCAGTGAGTGACAATCAGATATCTGATACTAGGAGTCCATGTGTTATGATCTTATCTTTCCCCAGAATCTGAGCAGCTAAAAAAATGATTGAAAATACAAGCTGTGCCCTAAATGGGAGGCAGGGAGGACAGCATGGCCCTCTATTAGGGAGTGCCCTGCCACACCCCTTGCCCACACCCATGTGTAGTATAGTGACAGGGTCTGTGGTCCCCCTGTAGCACTCCCAGAATCCCTCACTTCACCCCAGCTCCCTGCATTCCACCCTGAGCTAAACGTCACGACCCCAGGAATTCCTCTCCTTCCAGCCTTCTCCTTTTAAGGAGATCGCGGCGTGTGACGTCACCGGCCGGGATCAGGGCAGCGTGCTTCTCCTGACTGGCACCGGCGGCGACCAATAGGAGGGCGGGATTGGAGACAGCGGGGGAGGTGGGGCGGGGCCCGCTGGGAAGGTTGTCCCCCCATGGACGTCCGAGGGCGTAGCGGATGACGTCACCCGGCGGCCAGGGAAAGGCAGGAGTTGGGAGTGCTGGTTTGGAAGTGTCCGGATACTGGAGTTACACCGGGGACAGTTAGAAGGGGGATCCAGGCAGAGAGACTGGGGTCAGCATAGCCCTCCATACACACCCACAGGGGCTGGCATACTACCTGCAGACAGGGCACTGCCCATACACACCAGCAGGGAATACCAACTGGAGGGGCTGCTTAGATACCTGGCTGTCTGCCCACAGATAGTGCCCAGTAGGTATAGGGAGTGTAAGGGTACCTGGCTGCATTGCCCATAGCTGTAGAATAGTGCCCAGTGGGTGCAGGGTACCAGCCTGTCTGCCCACACCTGCAGGATAGGGTGCCAGTGGGTACAGGGGTACTTGGCTTCATTGCTCACAGCTGTAGGATAGAGTGCCCAGTGGGTACAGGGGTACTTGGCTTCATTGCTCACAGCTGTAGGATAGAGTGCCCAGTGGGTACAGAGGTACTTGGCTTCATTGCTCACAGCTGTAGGATAGAGTGCCCAGTGGGTATAGGGGTTACTTGGTTGCCTTGCCCAAAGCTGTAGGATAGTGCCCAGTGGGTACAGGGGTACCTGGCTGCATTGCCCACAGCTGTAGGATAGGGTACCAGTGGGTACAGGGGTTCTTGGCTACTTTATCCACAACTATAAAATAGGGTGCCACATGCTGGCACATACTCAGATTTTGTGACTGATCACCAGCTTTCTGCCCGGAACTTTGAAGTGTAAGGCAAGATTAGATTTTTTTTTTTTGCATTTTATTATTACTTTTTTTTCTCTCTGTGGAATTGAAGAGCACACAAGGAAGCCACCATGCCTGTGTTCCACACCAAGACCATCGAAAGCATCCTGGAGCCAGTGGCCCAGCAAATATCTCACCTGGTCATCATGCATGAAGAAGGGGAGGTGGATGGCAAGGCCATACCTGAGCTCACCGCACCTGTGGCAGCAGTGCAGGCGGCAGTCAGCAACCTGGTCCGGGTAAGTTCTATTATGGAGCTTTGGAAATGGTTGCATGTGGCCGGGAAATTTAAAACAGATTATCCAGCTTTGGCTATAAAAGCATTATGTGAGTGACAGTTCACAAATTGCCACCCATGTGTCGAAACATCCTGATATTATAGAACTAATTTGGCACTTCCACTCTTTTGCACTGCATTCTTTGTTCTACTCCACCTTTCAACCACAATAGCTAGGGTGCAAAAGGTTTACTGTCACTGACCATGAGTTTATCCCTCTGTTGGAAAGGTGCATGTATGTGTTTTGTATACCTGCATATCCGCCACTGGAACTGAAATATGATGATGATGCATACACCCGGAGAGCCATCACAATGAAGAGCTAGCAAAGATACCCTACTTGCCCTTGTTCTGCTGCTTCTAAAACTGCTCTTTTTCTGAACATTTAATGAAATGTCCTATTGATGTGTCTGTTGCATAGCTCCTACAAAATCGCCTAAATTTCTCATAAATGTTAAAATATTCTCAGGGTATGAGCACCTTCTTGCACCACTGTGCTAACAATTTAGCACGTTCCATACATTTTATACATATATTTTTTGTTATATTTTTAAGGTATTACGTTTTTACCTTTGACATCTTAATTTAGTACTTATTCTTATGGTTTTATGTACATTTATTAAAACACAACATAACAAAATACATAGAGACTACTCCAACAAGATTACCTTAAACTGTAAGGTCTTGTTTTTTATTTCATTTTGTGCACTTTACTATTAAAGCACTTTCACCACTTTATACCGATATGTGAGAGGACATTGGATTTTTTCCATCCCCTGGCAAGCTAAAAGAAGGAAGTGGTGATCCTTAATCCCACAGCGCTGGAAAATTGAGCCTTATATTACAGGCTCTAATTTTGTGAGTGTGTTACTATATATTTTATCCTCACTATATTCATTATTCAGACAATATTGCACTATCAAGTGTTATTTTGTGTTCTACTTTTAGAATTTACCTGTATTTACCTGTAACCAGAAGAAACTCCACCTTACACTGTATGTATAACAAAATACATGTTCACGTACACACGAGCTTACTATACATAAACATCTGAGGAGGAGATATTGTGTATCCTCCCATCCATCACACAGTGTCAACATCCCTTGCTGCTGTCATTCATTTGTATTTCCTGTAGCAGAGGGTACATTCCATTTTAGGACTGTCACCCTGTCACAAACAAGGGTAAATTTGGTGTTATTTTGATATCAAGTTTCCCGCCTGGAATTACAACTTTTTTCATATATGTGGGGGAAAAAATATAGCGTTTAAAAACTATCCATTCATTTGTGGCACTAAACTAGGGCTCCACATAAAACAAGTGGTTGCTGTACTGATGTCAATTGGCAGTTTATTTGATATTGCTACTGATGCGTAATGCAGAGATTTGATTAGAGAGTAGCAGTTTCACTTCATTTTAAGTACATTATTCTTAGA